TATATATATATACGGAATTTGAATTAAAAGATAATTTTGAATATATATAATTTTCAAACTCAACAAGAGATAAATTGATTTCTAATTGATAGTTTCTATAGAGACTTTTAAGTGTAACAAAGAGTGTATATATATATTAAATCAAGAAAGTTACCATATATAATTGACATTATGGTTATGCCAAGTGGCAAGCTAATAAATGTCAATAGTATATGGTAACTTTATTCTATATTTGACTATTTTAGTTAAATATAAATATAATATATATATATATATATATATATATATATGGAATTTGAATTAAAAGATAATTTTGAATATATATAATTTTCAAACTCAACAAGAGATAAATTGATTTCTAATTGATAGTTTCTATAGCGGTTTTTAAGTGTAACAAAGAGTATATATAAAGAAAAAATTGGTATGACGTGAAATATTTTTTTTAAAATGTAAATAAATTATTTTGAAAAAACTCTTTAATTTTTTTTAATTCAAAGATTATAAAAAGATAAGATATTTTTGAACATTACTAGAGAGTTTTAAAATTATTATAATAGAAGTTATATAATGGATAAACTCAAAAAACCGAAATCTTATGGAATATTTACATAATATATTTATTGTTTAATTTTTATAACTAATATAAATAGATGATATACCGACAACACACGATTATAGACATATTATATATGGATTATATATAAATTACACATCATTTATTTTTTTAATTTAAGTGGTCGGGTCAGCACTCATTTAGGTTGATTAGATAAAGCCAAAAGAAAAATATGAAATAATTTCAACCAAAGACTAAAAATATAATTAAAATTCATATGTAGACAATTTTTATTAAAACTCATTCTTTTATAGTGAAATAAATTAATTTTTTGTAACAAAAGAAATAATGACATAAAAAATAAGATAAAAGAAAATATATATTGAAAAAAATCTTAGAAAAACCTAAAAACGAGAAATGAAAGATGAAAACAAATTTCTTCTTATGTTTCATCTTTGTTGAGTATAAAATTTTTGAAAGTTAATCTCATCGATTTCAAATATTTTTTTTTCAACTCAAATACATAGATTATAAGATAAGGATATCTTAGAATACTTTTTTAAATTTACATTATGTGTCGTTTTTATAAACTCACTATTACTAACAAACTGATATGATATTCGAATTTGAATTGGAATACAATTTGAGTAGTTTGCATGGAGGTTAAGCCATGTATGTTGTCAAAAAATAAACTACTTGACAATTTTAAGACAATATATGCAATGTTTTATAATAATAATCAACTAATTTAACATTTAATGATTCAAAGAACAACATTTTTGTATATATATAGGGTATTAAAAATTCAAATTTTGGGGCTAGAGATATCGATAAACTTAAAGTGGAGTCATACTGAAATAAATCTGCCCAAAGAATTATTTGAATTTTTAGATAGCCGATTAAAGTGAATTTTAAATTAAGGATAATATCTTCACTTGCATCATTATAAAGATAATCATCATTATTACAATATATATAAAGTTTTAGAAATTGAAATTTCAAAATAGAAATATTTTTTGAAAGATAAAATAATACCAAATAAGAGTTCAAGTCGTAGTATAAAAGTCACGTCGTAATCAAAGAATTATTTATATCGTGTCAACATTTGTTCTTTGCCATAAATATGAGTTATTATTTCACTTTGTGGCTATTTTTAGGTTCCAATAACACCTATGAGAATAGTGCAAAAATAAAATTATCACTACGAGAATTGAGAAAATATTAGTCTTTTCTCATGTAGTGTTTCTCAATTAATATCTAACGATTATCTACAATTATTTAGAAGGTTTAAATGTTAAAGATATTTACATATAATTCAAATAACTCAGATATTTAACATGGTTAATATCAAATATCAAAAATGGAGTAAAAGAAATTCACTAGCTAGAGAATTTTTTATATTTTTAGATAGCCAACTAAAATGAGTTTTGAATTAAGAATAATATTTTCAATTACATTATTATAAAAGTAATTATTTGAAAAATAATGTTTTAGAAACTGAAATTTTAAGAAAGAAATATTTTTTAAGAGATATCAACACACCAAATAAGAGTTCAAATAGTAGTAAAAGAGTTAAGTCTTATCCAAAGAGTCCTTCATTGTGTCAACATTTGATTGTTTTGCCATAAATATGAGTTATTATTTTGCTTCCTAACTATTTTTAGGATCCAATGATACCAACAAGAATATTATCAAAAAAGAAAAATAGAAGAAATGGTTAATTTTTTTCATGTAGTTAATATCCAATGATTATCTATATTTACTGAGAAAGTATAAATTTTAAGATTATTTACATTCAATCCAAATAACTTAAATATTTGACATGATTAGTGACCGCACGTGTTGTGGAAACGGTTTCTTTCCCTTGAATTTCAGGAGTAATGTGGGCTTATCGTGTTGCTGCTGATTTATGTAAATTCCTAGACAGAACCTTCTATTTTCAGTGTTCAATGTCATGATACCATTGGCGCTGTCAGAGATTTAAAATTCAAATTAGTGGTTTCAGGGGCGGATCTATTTAGGGGATTAAGGGTGGTACCCACCCAATCGCTCGGGTAAAATCTTATATATGTACTAGTATTTTTCTCAAAGTATAAAAGATATCTAACGGGTGACACCCCATAAGACACAATTATTGCAGGTGCCACGGTTGAATCACTGAAACACCATTGACAAGACACTGGATCGAGACTCTCTGGCGGTACTTTAATTGTCTCTTGTTATTTTTTTCCTAGCCTTTCTTTTCTTTATGCTCTTTTTCCCTAGCCTTTCTTTTGTTTTCTTTATGCTCCTTCTCTTAAATTCTTTTAATTTCTTCACCTTTGGTATTCACTCTTTTTGTACAATCCCATTTTTTATTATTTATTTAAATTGTATGTTTGTTTCCTTTTTCTTTTTCTAGATCTTTAAATTTTTTTGAGTGTGATTTTAATTATTTCTCTTTTTATCCATCTACTATTATTTTATTAATTTTAGAAAAATTTCGAGTGATGCATCAAGGACATAATATTAATTGTATATTGAAGTGTATTTCCTAATTTAAAATTTTATTTTTACTTTAAAATTTTTAATCACATTAATCGAATTTGAATCCAGAGAATTAGACAGAACTGGAACCGAATTGGACAGAACTTATTCGATTTTGTGATCACATACTCATTTATGCATAATTTTTTTTAAAATTGGATTGAATTAATTCAAAATGGACCGAACTGACTAAATTTACATCCAACTTCAATCTCTTCACTATGTCGGTTTATATTAAAAGCAGTGACACTCGTAACCATCAAATCACTGTTTGGTGACTAATTGGTCATGTATGCAAATTTGTCTTCAGCCCCTATTAATGTGCCTCATATATATATATATATATGTGGCATAATAGGTACCTACAATGTTTGTATTCATGTCAGATCTAGTAACTGAAATACGGAATGTGTGACTTGAGTTTCCTCCTTTTATCATAGGGTACTGGACAGTGTTCTTCGTGGGCAACTTTGTTGGCATGATATCTACACTTTCAGATAAAAAGAAACATAGTATATCTTGACAGGCGAGTCACCGGCTTCTTCAAGAAACTTCATGGTAATTAGCGCTTATTAATTGTTAGCAAAGCATCAGTTGGTGCCAGATTTTACCACACGAGACTTTTAGCTCTTTTCAGCGAAACACGAACTAGTTAAGGTATTAGGTTATGGAAGGAATTCAGTTTTAGTTAGCAAGCTTCTTTTTTATGTCTACCATCAAGATATAATTGCTCTTCATTAGATGTTTTTCGACTGAAACCTGTTAGTGTTTCGGTGGAATGCCCTTGTTATCTGTCTATTTTGTAGTGAGTTTAATTGCTATTGTTATTAAATTAAGTGATTGTTGCGATTATACTCGGAGATTTGTTGGTTTTGAACCTATACTTTAACGCTAATTTACTATTTCCTGTATTGACTTATTAGACATCATTACAGAAGCACCTCAACACACTGTTGCTAAAAGCAGTTCATGAATATGACTCACATATGGTATAAATGCACAATCTTAACCTTAACATACATATCATGCAATTGTTATTCTAATAGGGATTTACAAAGACTCTTAGCAATGTCTTTTATTTCTTCACGAAAAGAAGTTTTGATACTTTGCTTTTGGTTTTCCACATTTATCACCTCTAATATGGGTAGTGGGCACCCTCACTTTTCTAACTGATGATTAATTCTTTTCCTTATGTTTTGAGCATAATTTTTTTTAAGCATAAATTATATCATACTATCTATTCAACAGTTCATGGTTTTCGCCAAAGGTGTGTCTACACTCTAAAAAACAAAACTCTCCCCCCTTAAAGATCAATCTTTATCACTGGCATGACAAGAAAAGGGTACCCCGGTGCACGAATTATTCCGCATTTACCCAGGATCCGGGGAAGGGTCGAACCCGTGATCTATAGGTCCCGCGGAAATAATTTTATTGTTGCTCTAGCGGTCCCCTTCCCTGGCATGACAGAGAAGTTAATATCAGATCCCCTTTGTTCTTAATAAGTTTAAATCCACCAAAACATAAACTTTATCTCAACTTTTGGAGCCAAAATGCTAACATACAGTAGAATATAAACTCTTGCTTATTACATGTTTCCTGGTCCTAAGTTGGAAGGAAGGGGCTATTAATTTCTCAGCCCTACCAAATCTCCAAGTAATTTTTTCTCAAAGTAATAGAGGGAGTCTTTTTCTAGTTAGACTTCTTTTTGGGCTTTATACCCACTGTAGTTTTTTCTTTTTTTAATCATCACCATTGATTTTTCCCATAGTACATGTTCCTGAGCTCTGGGGCCTTCTGAATGTGCAACTAATTCAGGTTTGACATGCACAGACATGCAAAGGTAATCTTTGGCTTTTTAAAAGTGAACTTTTGTGTCTCAGTTTTTACTTTGGAAACTGCTGCAAACATGAAAGGTACAATGGAACCAAAATTTTAAAGGAGTAACATGAATATGATCTCCATCTCAGCATCTGTGGGAATATTCTACATACAGTTCATTTCTGTTTCTAGTTTCTCGTAGATTTAAAAATTTACAACTATGCGTAGAGGTAAACAGAAAAACGAAAAATTAAAACTTAATCAGGCACTGCAGCCAAATCTTCTTTCCTTGTGCTGCAACTTATATCAGAATCAGGTACCTCTATAATCAGTGGAAGCTGCATAGACTAGTTCTTTAGTTTGAAATGAACCATCATTTGCATCATCTAAGCACCTGAGTGAAGCTTCATTCTCCGCAAAGAGATGTATGCTAGGAGCCGGTAGCCAAAAACCATAGCTAGTAGTATACATACTTCCTTTACACCGCTTCCTACTTTAATTCCGTCCACCCAGTCATTTTTCTCCTTATATTGAACCTTTAGAAGGAGTTTGTACGTCTGATAGTTATAGGATAGGTACCGCAACCATGATATAAATACTGGTACTTTCTGCAGAATTCAAACCCTATATCAGAACTACAGCTTCTAAGGTTTCGATGTGAGAGGATAGTGCATCCTTACCTTTACAAAATATCCACCAGCTAACATAAAGGTCATTACAGTAACAGAGGCCAAAGTGGTTGCCTTCTTTAAATCCATTAGTGTAGCCCCTATTGCTAGTCCTAATCCCTGCCAACAATGACGTAAGGATTATTCAAATTACCAAGGTAGGGAAACGGTCAGTTTATACATGAAAAAAAAAGAAGTAAAAAATGGAGTACCTGAGCTGCTACAATGCAGAGGAAAGTTGTAAGCACAGTTAGGAAGAAGGCATCAGCTTCATGTTTCAATCCTGCCATGAAATATACCACTAAAAGGAAGAGCACTGGCAGTATAAGATCCAGTGGAATATCACTGGTGGTTCTAGCCAAAAAATATGCGCTTAATCTGTACATGTCAGCAGATCGTTCCTTGTTCAGCATTGCCCTTTCTTGTGGAAATGTGAAGATTGCTGTGAAAACTGGAAAAAACCCCCAGAACACAGCAATGAAGAACAGCAACCCCGACTGCAATGAATTTCACATTTCATTATTATGCTCCTAGTTATTAGAAAGGTTTCGTAAATGCTTCCGTTTGCTTCTTTAGGACTTCTATTTTGATTCAACATGAGATTCTCTATTCATATAAGTGTGTCTTGGCATAGATGCGAATAGAGTTTCTAATTGAGGTTCTTGGATAATCCTATTCTCTCCTATTAGTTTTTGACATGGGATGAATGATACAATCTCTGTAGTCTTAGATATTAGCTTTCATTTAGGAACCTAATGTCAAATCCTTTGATCATCTTGTGCATACAAGAGTAGAGCCTCATACCTGTTCTCGCATTTGTTTAGGACTATCACCACCAGACTGCCACCAGAGCATACCCAAGATAAGTGCAGTTGCAATTACTTGAGTGATTCTCAACCAGCTAAAATAATCATACCGCCGTTCTTTAAGTCCTCTCCAAAATAATATGGAGTATTGTTCACACCAGCTTGCTCCCCACTCTCTATTTATAGAAAAGACTTTAGACTTCAACTCTTCATCTATCATCATGGGGGCCATAAGTTTCTTTTTTTCACTCTCAGCCACTTGTGTTTCGTAGGCTTCCACAAGATACTGTTCAGGGAAAATGAGAAATTAATAAATTATAGACATATGAAAAGCAGGATTCATACAAACAAAAAAAGAAGGGAAATAAAAAACATTAAATTCATGCCAAGTGATTGCTTGAGGTCTTTTTAAGTTTTTTGAGTAAGAAATGCAGATTTTACTCACCTCATGCACAACTATTGGTGTTGGCTTTCCGTTTCCTGTTTCTCTATCTGAATTCCCGATCTGCACTCTGTCCTCCAACTCTGATGGAACAGAAACGTCATTAAGGTTTCCATTTGCAAGGTCTAACAGGAACTCTGCTGGATTCATTGAAATCAGAGGCGAACAGCCTATAGCTGAAAAATAGACCATTGCTTCAGATGCCTTCCCAAAATAAAGTAAGCTCCCTTTGCCAAGAAGAATCAACTTATCAAACTTGTGGAAAAGTCTGCTGGATGGTTGATGGATTGTTGTGATCACTGTCTTTCCAGTCTGTCACAGGATTGAGACAAAATTAGGTGCAAAGTGCCTCAAAAGGATTAGCTTGGATACCTTTTAACAGGAAAACATATACTCCCTCTATGATGAAGTTAGATGGTCTTGGATAAAACAGAGAGAAATGTTACCTCAGCTATATCGTGTAATATCTCAACCATCCTTAATGCTGTTGTAGAGTCCAAACCCGATGTGGGTTCATCAAGGAATAGTAGGGATGGATTAATTATGATCTCATTTCCGATACAAACACGCTTTCTTTCTCCCCCTGAAACTCCACGAACAAAGGAGCCACCAATCATGGTATCTTGGCATCTGTAAACATCACATTCCTCATTAGCTTTCAGTAAAGAAATTGTGCATCTTGTTGTTTATCAATCTAAGGTTATTTGTTGTTAAATACGCGCTTTATTAAAGTATGACCATCTATTCATTTGTTAGATGACTGAAAGTGGCCTTAGTAATAACCTCAGGCTTAATGATTCCCTGCATGTCATGAAATTAGAGAACTAGTCAAGTAGAGAAACAATTACCTCTCTAGTCCCAACTCGTATATCACATCTATGGCTCTTTTTTCTTTCTCCTCCTTTGTCAAAGTCTTTGGCAGTCGTAGGCGAGCTGCATATGTTAGTGTTTCTCTCACTGTCAAGTGAGGAAATAGTATGTCATCTTGAGTCACGAATCCTATCCTGCCAAAGTTTCACATCCATGTTAGATTCTGTGTAAGGTTTTTTTCCTTGAACTCTGCTTATGTTTTTATTTGCATAGACCGATACTTTGATATCTGACTTTAATCTATGATGCAATCAAATTCATTTAGCTCGAACTTAGATGCCAGTCCGTTTAAAGTGTGTTTCCTGTGCATATTTGTTAGTACAGCTCTTGTTTTTGCTTCTTAAACCACAGATGGGATGATCAAAATCTCTTTCGGAACTCGTTCCTGTGCTTCTACTCTGGCAACTAATCTTTTTCAAATTACTCTGGCAACTAATTTAAACATGAGGTGCATTATAATTTCCAGCAGTAGCATCCCATAATGCTTTTTATTAAAAATTATTAGCTTCTGTTATACTACATGAGCCTTTGTTATAATATGAGATTGGAATTATCATGAAAAAATATGGCATTGGTATTGTGTTCTCAAGATTTTCTACTGTATACCACTTGGTGAATTCTGGAGTGTTACCTGCTCTTTAGAAGCTTTGAGTATGGTTGTTCATTGTAGGTGATTGAGCCTCCTGTTGGCTCTTTTATTCTTCCTCCAAGCAGGCTGAGGAGTGTAGTCTTTCCACTTCCAGACGGCCCCATCATGGCCAAAACTTCTCCTGGATCAACAGAACCACTGATTCCGGTCAAAATTTCCTTCTCTCTTGTTGATGTTACTCCTTTAATAACCACCTTGTAGCATACCTCAGTAAACTGCAGAGTTTGTGAAAGGAATAAAAAAGGAATAATCTGAGATCCATCTTTTTAACTTGAGAATAGGTTTATGCAGCTCAATTTAACTTCCAAAAAAGATGTACAGAGTATGCTTCTAGTCTACATCTTTTATGGTCAGGATTTTCTTCTATTTTTCTTCCTACTAAAGCTGACGCCGTCGAATATTTGTGAATCCTCAGCAACTGAGTGCTAGGTTAGGTCAACTCGATCCCAGGTGCTGGTTCTGTAAACTAGTTTCTGTGTTTACGTGCATTTTGTGAACACTTTTAAGCTTCTATAGTGTTGTTGTTTGTTACTCCTAAAAGGGGAAGTCTTGTACAAAAATACCACATGAAATGAGATTCTGTACAAGACTGAACCTGACATCAAATATTTTCCATGTTCAAAGGGTCGCGTTGATCTCAACATAAACCTCCATCCTTGCCTGTCCAAATACATAGTATCCGATCAATCCGTATGCATTCAGGGAAATGAAGATGGGGGTTTGACACACCGTTATACATGCTTTGCTAGATAAAACAAAAATTCAGAAAGCTTTTTTGAGTTTTTTTGACTGCCTGCATTTTGAGCTTAGGTTCACCTTGAGGTATATCGGCAAGGTAGGTTCTGCTTGAATCTTCATCTTTCTTGTGCCAGCTTCAATATCTTCAGCTGCAAAAAAGTACATATATAACTTGCGATCATGAAGTCCAGGCTAGATGATTTCTCACATATTTACTTCCTACCAAAGACAAGCATATTAATCGCTTTGGTCATCTTTTCACAACTCGAGACCAAGATTTACTACTACTCACATTAAATAACAACAACGAGGTTGCATGCTTCCCTCCAAGAATTTCCCACCTTGCTCTTGGGGAGACTCGAACTCACAACCTCTTGGTTGGAAGTGGAGGTTGTTTACCATCATAGCAACCCCTCTTGCTTACCGCTTTACTACTCACATTAACTTGTAATAGCAAAATACCCTTTTTATTCTTCCTTTTTTTTCCAGTCTAGATTCAAAGTAATCTCTGCTTCTTAAGCACACTTTGTTTCTCCTGGATTATTATTCTAATTTATCTTTTGATTTTCGTTCTTAATTCTAAGGATATAGTTTACAATAACAATGGTGCATTTCAACTGTACATCAAACTAGATTGATACGAAAACTGAAGACGAGCATGCATACACAGAGGTGCTATAGGTGCTATTAATATTCGAAGTTATATAAGCAAAGGATGGGGTGACACTAAGGGCATGGGACGAGTATTTTAAGTAAAAGCAAGTGAAATGTGGTGTATTATGGAGTTGGTATTGCTCTTTGTCAAGATTTAAGAGAGGAACAAATGTTGCAGATAAGTTACTTCGTCACAATTTCGTAACCATTATGGGACCTAAAATGCAAATAGGTTTTCCAAAGAATTTATAAATTGCTAAGGTTTAGGGTGTATTTGTCAGTCCATGATATTAAGCATTTTGATACGTGATTCCTTTTTATTGTTGAATTATAGTTTTCTTTTTTATGAGAATATTAATTGCCTTGGGTTTTGCTTCACTGAGTGCTATATATCCCACTCAACCTCTATCAAAGTATTGTACAGACAAAGTGGGCACCATGATAAGACTTAAAACGAAATCCCATAACAGGTCCACTTTGTTTACGTTCTACAATTTGAACAAACAATGGCCATACATGTGGCTCTATATTGACAGTTGTGGAGAGTGACAATTTTATGGATTTCCATTATAGATATGAGTGGGAATCTGGCCAAACTTCTTTCATAATTAATAAGTCTCACTGTTTTCCTTTCTTATTTTTTAACTTTAAACTTTTGTAATTTTTGACTTTTGTGACACCATCTAATAAAATTTAAATGACAATGAAGAAATGATGCAAGTTCCTGAAACAATTACATATAACAACATTGTTATAATATACTCCATCCGTTTCAATTTATGTGAACCTATTTCTTTTTTCGTCCGTGCCAAAAAGAATGACTCCTTTCCTTATTTGGAAACAATTTACCTTTACAGAATGATTTATAGCCACACAAAATATATGTGTTTCATTTTACACCATAAGATCAAAAGTCTTCTATCTTTTCTTAAACTTCGTGCTCAGTCAAATGAGTTCACATAAATTGAAACGGAGGGAGTAATAGTTTTTTCTTAGAATTAAGAAACAATTATTGTTGTCATATCTGTTGAAATAGTTATATACCAAGTGTGCTGATTACATATATTCTTCAGTTCAGGATCATTTTTGTCTCTAAAATCCGTAAAGTTTTGATTTGCAAAAGAAAGTAAAAGAAACTTTTCATTAGGACGTTCATATTAAAAAATAAGGAAAAGCACAAAATAAGAGGGGTGACAAAAGAAAAAAGAAAAGAAAGGAGGGTTTTTTTCAAGTTTCAACACTTGTGTTTACCTTAACAACAACAACGACCCAGTATAATCCCACAAGTGGGGTCTGGGGAGGATAATATGTACGCATACCTTACCCCTACCCCGAAGGATAGAGAGACTGTTTCCAGGAGACCCTCAGCTCAAAAAGGTAATAGGAGCCGATATATTAGTACCATAAAAATACATAATAAAATAACAGCAATGCAAGAGATATGAAATACAAAATACGAAATACGAAATAGATGGCTGGTATAGTAAAACTAGCCGGTAAAACCCTGCTAGTTTAGCTTTTTTTCTTTTTTTCTTTTTGGGTTTGTTTTTGCGTCCAAACGACCACAACAAAAAGAAGGGGTCCACTTTTCACCAGTTTCTCACTTTAGGGACTTTAAAAAGACAGTCTGGCAGTTTCTAACTTTCCATTGACTCATGCAAACGAAAAAAGTCCTTTTTGCCTTAAATCCGAGGCTCTTATGGCTAAGGCGAAGATTTTTTGGCTTAAATAAAACAAACAAACAAACGTTTGAACTTCTTTCTCCTGTTAATCTTATGGACATTCTATTGCTTGAACCAATCATTTGTCAATTATTTAAGCCTTTAACGGTATTAAATTTGTTATCGTTTCCCTATTGCTAGTGGAGTGCTACTACTTATAGTAACAGCTTTTATCATCTTTAACATGCCCTCGAGAGGAAGGAAAATAAAGAGAAGTGATTAAATATGGCCGTTGAGAGGATACGAATTGACGCAAATACCCTAATATATGTAGGGTTAAGGATTATTCTAACCAGAAATCTAATTCTCTCTAAGGGCACTCATGTCATTTGGAATTATGAGCTTTTGTGGTGCACAAAGAAGGGCCACAATTAAAGATGAGAACGAGAAACGTTGGCAAACTTATAAACCTTTCCTTTCTTTTTGGAAAAAGAACTAAAAAATGATTATTTATTATGTAAGTTTTAATATTATTTTTCATGCTATCGAAGGAAATTTGTTTCTGCTTCTGTTATTATCTTAAGGAGGAAAAAGTAAGAGAAAAAATGAAAGAAAGAAAGATAACAACCTTAGCTAGGTGAAAGAAAATTAAGTATCACGTTAAGGAACTTTGGTGATGTTAATTTAATTAAGAAACATTATTACTTTTTATGAGCTAACTAAGTAGTTTAAACTGGAAATCAGTTCTCATATGCTGAAAATAACGCAAACAATAAATTGCATATTTTCTTAAGTTTGATACGACAGAAGTTCGAGTCGAACTATAACTAATAGGACTCGTGCAAGAAATCAGTAAAAGAAGAAAAAGATAGATATATACTTACGAATATCATCATCACTAAAGGGCTTCAAATCGGCGATCTCATCCGGTGGCACGGTGAAGCCGGTGAAGGAGAAAGATAAGCCCAAGCTGGCACTAGAGGCGCGGCTTAAGGCGGCGCCACTGCTAACTTCATCTAAATCAAACTTCAATTGAGCACTTCTTGACTTTCTAATGTGAGTGTTTTTCCCTATGCTGCTGCTGCTCCGCCCCGGTGATGCCGTAGCTAGCCGCCTGCTTGACTTCCTCGACAGCGTCTCCGGCCCTCCCACTGCCTCGCTGATCGGGGACGACTTCGTTCCACCCATTGCTGCCGAAATCGCTTCTACCAGTTGATCAGACTTTGTACGAAGTAAACTTGTGGTACTCGGTTTATCCATCATGTTCCTTTATATGTACATGCAGATATGCAAATGCAGACATTAATAATAATATAAATGGATTTAACTTATATACTGTGAAGGTATAAAAAGTAAATTATTGAAAATATAATAGAAAAGATATTAATAAATGTAAATTAAGGCGCCCATTTTATCAATTACAATGCATCTAGTTAAGTTTTCTAACTAGTTTTTCCTCTATAGCATACCTTTTTGCTCTAAGATTACTATCTTTCGGTTATGTTTTTCTCACTCTGTGTTACTAAATTCTCCAAGTTAGTTCAAAATATTCTATTAATGATCAAAAGACTACAAGAAAAGAAAAAAAGAAGGAAAAGAAACAATTCTAGAAAGAAAAATATATATAGGCTATCATTCCTTTTAAATGTTCAAAATTTGAAGTAAATACACTAATTAATATATGAAGCGAAACATGTATTTCGTAGGTCTTGCTGACTAGTTTCTTTAATTTGTCATTCTTGGGGGAGGGGAGAGGAGAAGTGGGAGATTATTTAGAAATTGACAATTGCTTATCACCTTAAAGGCAGAGACTGTTTCTAACGGGCGGGAGTTCTAAAAAAAAAAATCTTAATGATTGCTACCAAAAACATACATAAGAGAAGGAGGGAACTAAATCACTAGAAAAAGAAGAACACTACAAGATGATCAGTTGCAAACTTTCATACCTTGTACAACTAAAAAAAGGCTTAAGCAGAAAGAAGAGTAGTGGAGAGAACTATGGAACTCAATGCTTCACTTCTCTTTAACTCTTAATGATTTACATTGCCAAAGTGCAATCTTTTTTCTTTTATAGCATCAATAAAGAGAGGGAGAGTTGAGATTACGTAAATACCCTTGCCCAATTGATAAATCACTAATCCCCCCATTTTGCATAATAATTCCAGCAGCGGTGAAAAACACTTGACATAAATGCAAAAGATATGATAAATATTCATAGACATGAACAACAAACATCAATTTTGTTTGTCTAGTCCAAATCATCCTTGTCGTACACGTGTCCGGACATTTTGCTGTCCCATTTTTTTTGGAATATGTATTCCTTCCTCTTGAGAAATCATCATCAGTTGGAAGTCTATTCGTCATCTCATTTCGTACCAAACTCATTGAATTAGCACGTACATGATACATTTGCTATCCATGCCTTCACAATTCGGTACTTAATTTGTCCTAGCTCTTTAACCAGAGACAGTTAAAATTTTATTTTTATGGATTCCGAATTTTAGAACGAGAATTTTAAGTGTTAATAATTAAATTTTAATTTCAATTTGTACATATTTAATAAATTTCTTAACGCAAATACATTATTTGAAAAAATTATTGGATTTGATTGAATCAATATCTAGATTACTACCTTGCTGATTTAGGCTCTTAATTCCTCATTTCTTTGCTTTCGCTTCTATAGATGGAGCTCAAGTGTTAAATTGATGGGCATAAATTCTATTATACTAGTTTATGCTTTACGATTATTCGTACGAACTATGTGAATGTTGCACCTACGGCCTATTATGTGCATTTTTTCAGACGTGTTCATCCCATTTGTGCAAATACTCTATCCTTTTAGGATCTCTTCATTTTCACCGCTAACATGATAACATTTTTTTATAGGGAGAACTTATCCTTATCGAGGGTGTTACAGACTATGACATGAGTAGAACACCCAACTTATAGCCCGTTTGACCAAACTGCAAAAATTAGCTTATTTTGAGAAGTGTTTTTTTTCAAAAGTTCTTTTCTCAAAAGTACTTTTGGTGAGAAGTAGTTTGTATTTGACTAATTAGTTTGAAAAGCACTTCTGAGCAGCAATTAGTGTTTGACCAAACTTTAAAAAACTGCTTATAAGAGTATTTTTTTCAAAAGTGCTTCTCAAAAAAGTGTTTTTGGAGAGAAACTATTTTTTTTTGCTTATTCAAAACTGCTTCTGCTTCTCCTCAAAAGCACTTTTTTCCTTCCAAAAGCTTGGCCAAACACCTCAATTTTTGGCGTGCTTTTGGCAAAAAAAAAAAAGCACTTTTGGCCAAAAAGAAGCTTGGCCAAGCGGCTATTAGAGCCCGTTTAGATTGGCTTAAAAAAAGTAGCTTTTCAACAGAAATAGCTTTTCAGCCAAAAAGCAGTAAGTTGGGATTGCCGAGTTTATTGGCTTGTTTTAAACAGTTTTTAACTTATTTTTAGCACTTTTTGACATTGTCAACCACTGAATAAAACTAAAAATAGCTTAAAAGCTGATTTGACCAGCTTAAAAGCCAATCCAAACGCCCTCTTGCTATTTTTCAAAATTGACGGTGTTACATTTTTTCTTAGATTTTGTTGTTGGGTCAATTTATGTAGCCTTTTTGCATTGATGATATTTAACCTTATTAGGGTATGCACAATGCCGCCTTTTAATCGAACGGTAGAAGGCGACAGAGGAAAATGAATCGAAATTGAAGATTGGAGGGTGAAGTTCTTGTCAATACATAACCCAAAGGCTACTGTTCCATTCTCATGTTACCTGGCTTCTAGGGCACAAGAGTTTTGGAGCATTGCCACGATTCATGTGCACAATTTCTTATTGTATTGTGGTATTTTTTGTGAATATTATCACTTGGTCGTTTTTGTTTATGCCATGCCTATCAAAGATGATTCTTCTCAAAAGAATATATTGAAGTGCAAGTTCCTCATTTTCTTTTCTTGTTTCATCATGATTATCGTCACTATTTTTGTCATTTATCGCCTAAATAAGTTCCTGCATGAAAAATTTCCCCCAACTCTGATATGCCAATTGTATGCTATTACTTGCAGTACGTAGCCAATTATTTAAAGTTAAATACTTTTTAGAATTATTTTGCTCATTTTAATTTGTTTTGTTTTCTTAAGTAGTT